GCTTTTAATACTTTAATTTAGTGAATAAGGAAAGGATGTTTCCTTTCCCTAAAAATCCACTAAAATTTGTTTTTTGTTAAAAACACACACAAAAATCCCCAACTTAGAGTTACTGCTGAAAAAATTGTAGAGTACTTTGTCTCCACAAATGAAATTCCCACGAATTCCTTGTTATGTGTAATTACCTCAGCATACATCTCAGTGCTGTTCTTCAATCAGTTTTAAGTGTATATTTCCAGGGAGAGCAGTTTAGCCTCTGAAAACACTTTTAGAAGTGTTGCTCTGAATCAACAGGATTCCATCTATGTTTAAAACTATGGCAATTTCACTTAAATGTAAAACAAAGGATATCAATTTTTATCTACTATATATTTGAAGGAGCTTGGGCGTCTGTCCCTCCATCTGTCAATTCAAGAGCTTCTCCTAAACAGTGACAGCTAAGACCACCAAATCCGATATACATCTGCTTCTTATAACTGAAAAGTAAGGGAAGGGTCTGGCTGTGCCAGGAAACCAGGATGTGCCTACAATGAAAACAGGAAAGACAGAACCATGTGAAGGGACTGGTAGGTTGGAGATGCCTCCCATCTAGGAGTGCACCAGCCCTGAGACTCCTGCTCCCCAAGTGGCCTTTAGGGAGGTCCAGGGACTAAAGCTTCTCCTCCCTCCCCCAATTCAGACAGGAACATTACAGGCTGCTCCACTTCATTAGGGAGAGAGGGGAAGTGCTGCATTCCTCCCTCTGGCTGGGAAGTGCAGGGGCCATACAAACCTGGACCTGCCCCAGCTGTGCCCAGCGAAGCTGGAGCAGTGGGGGAGAGGCAATTCTCACCTGGCCCTAAGCTGCTGAGGTGAGAGGGCTGGGAAAGTCCTCTCTAAGGTAGCCTGCATACTGAACCCCTCATCTGCAGCACCCTAGAGCAGTCATTTAAATGAAGAACACCACAAAGAGAGACCATAAAAAACACTGCTTGAAGCAGAAAAATCTTCCATATATACACAGTAAAACTCCAATAGTCCGGCATCCAATTGTACGGTACTCCTGATAGTCTGGCATCAAAATGGCAAGAGCCTAGCGAGTGAGCTTCGGCAAAAAACGAGTCACAAGGCAACAGCAGCAGCAGCTGAACCAAGCAAAAAGGGTAAAAAAGGGTTAAAAAACTAACACCACAGTATACTGTATACAGGATGTACAATAAAGGGTTAAGAACACGTTATATACAATATATAATGTATACAGTGTATATTTTATAAAACCACCTTATAGTCTGGCATATCTGATAATCAGGAGGTACTATCTGGAACCACCTAGGTCCCAAAGGTTCCAGTTTATCAGAAGTCTACTGTATCAAGTTACCTTGTTACACACATTAACTTTGATTAATCTCCACAAGAAAAAAGAGCAAGCTCACTCCAGTATGTGTTTTAGCCAACAGTGCATAAACTGAAGAGGTGACAAGTTAAACCACCTTTACAGCTGGAAATCTAAACTTCTGCAAAACTAGTGCCATTTATTCAATGTTGCCAAACACTGTTTCATTCCTGAATGTATTTTAAATAAATACTAGACCCAAAACTATTATGTTCCAACTCAAACCTTGTATTTACCACCAGTGCTACAGTGGATCTTTTCCATTACAATGTGAACCACAAGGATCTAAGACCAGTGCCAGGATTCTGGAAACGATCTTATTTTTCCATCTGGTATTCATTAAAGGTACCAGATTGACAAATATGAACACGTGGAGTGAAAGCTTCCTAACCTCTCCCAACCACGTGTGGGTCAACTGACTAGCCAAGGATCGCCTCTGAGAAGAACAGTTTTTTCCATGACCAGTCTCAATACAAAGAAAGATCAATAAGGATCCCAGTTAGTATCAATTATACCAACTAAGGCCTGAGCCGCAATTGCCAGCCAACTATCAGATAGCAATAATATGAACCAGATCTGGCTACACAGAGGTCAACTATCCTTCCATCTGAGATGAGACTGTAGTACACATTGCTACCTGGTTCTTCTGTGGTATTAGACACTAGCTGTAGAGTCAGGCTGAGGGTGTACATGGGCAATGTTGCAGTTCATGCCACAAAAATCAGGTTTTTTTTAAATTGTTCAACATGTCCTTAACGTGGATGTTGTGATAACTTTGCTAAACTGATGTGTCTACAGACACATCTAAACTACCTTTATTTTTCGAAAGGAGATATGCAAACCGGCACCGAATTTAGAATTGGATTTAGAATTGGATGCAGATCTTCACCTCTAGAAATCTTAATGGAGTCTCAATTCTGGACTGCTCTGTGAGCAAACACTTTACATGTCCTTAACGTGGATGTTGTGATAACTTTGCTAAACTGATGTGTCTACAGACACATCTAAACTACCTTTATTTTTCGAAAGGAGATATGCAAACCGGCACCGAATTTAGAATTGGATTTAGAATTGGATGCAGATCTTCACCTCTAGAAATCTTAATGGAGTCTCAATTCTGGACTGCTCTGTGAGCAAACACTTTATAGTGGTGGATGCAGAGCCAAGAGCAGAGGGAAAAAAGCTGGGGGGGGGGGGGGGGGGGGGGGGAGAAGAGGAGAACCACATTTAAAAACAAGCATCACCTACTATGGAAATTAACCTCATTAAGCAAACATGCATCTCTAGGATAATTTAAAACTCCTTTTTACACCTCAACAAATTATAGTAACAAGAAATACTATTCTCCTCCTCATCTTCTCTTCTGTCTGATAAGGCACCCTATGGGATGTGTATATGCAACTCATTTTACCTCTGGTTCAAATGGATACCTGGAGAAGTTACAACCCACATAGAATGCCACGATTTCCTGTATAGATGTAAAATAGATAGATGTAACCCCTCAAACCACTGCTTCACACCCCCACCCCCACCCATCCCATGCTCCTTAACTGTTTTCAGGTTTAAGATGGCCACCTTCAAATTGATTTCCCAGGATTTAACTTGACCCTGGAATGTGCTATCAGTAACCCAACAAGAGAGCTGAGCTTGTCAGACAACTGTGAAGCCCTACTAAAGTGATCATGGAGGGAAAGTAGGTTCAGAGGGACTTCAACAAACATATGTAACATTCTATAATGGATAACGTCATAGAACATGCAGTACCAAATCATAAGACAGTGCTTCCAGTTTGCCACAAGTAGTCCTCAACTGTAGATAAGAGCATCAGAGATTGCTGTTTTTTGGAAGTTTATGTCCTTAAGTTTTTTGTTATGGTATCAATACAGTGGATGTGCATTAGGCCTCAATTGGATGTGGCAAACCTCCGACCATGCCCTATGGGTCCTGCACTTCTGACAGACAGACTGTTCACCTCAGAGGCTTGCTGTGATCCTCCATACAATCCCTGGCCCTGTATGACAGGCATGCATCACAGCCTATTAAGTCCTTCTCAACACGTTAGTCTAGTTTTGGGGTGAAAACCCCTCTGTAGTCATGGTTTCCTCTCTCAGGACAGACTTTGTTGGTGTGGTTGGGGGGGGGGGGGAGAAGGGGAGAACCCAGGTCTGCCCACTACTCCAGGTTCCAGCCTAATGACTCTAAAGCAGCGGCAACAGACGGGGTTTGTTCTACTCCCAGTCTGGAGACCACTTCCCCCAAATGATCCCTCCTAGTACCTTTCCTCTGGTGTCTGAGCAGCCTGTCCTCCTCCTTCATTG